AGGCAGGGGGCGCATATCACCTCGTCTGTCATATGCAATCAAGGGAGCAAAGCACATTGTGCGTGCGGGTTTATAGTGTAAGATAGCCAAGTCCACAGCTGAATGGCAGGGCCTCGAATCATTAAAGCAGATAACTTCTCAGCAGCAGGCTTTACTGCAGCACATTGTCGTTTGACCAGGCAGGCAGTGCCAAACTGCCAAATTCTCCTCCTAGCGCAAAAATGCCTTCAGGCTCCTCTCGCCGTTGTGTAATTTTGCTACCTACAGAAAATGGCGACCTCGCTGGGTAACATCAGCCAAGTAAGTCTTTTCACCAAAGACGTACATAGCTACCTAGTCTCTGCACGAAGGCGTGAGTAGGTATGCAAAGCCACTGAGACCACACTTCTCGATATGTCGAGCTTCAAGTTGAATATTCAAACGCGCTTCTCGGAGACTGCTTATTAGTTAGTCATTTGCCACTTGGCTCTTATTCCCCATCACCGGAACCATGCCTCCTTGACAATTGTCTTCCGGGCTGGCTGCCCATATCTCCATCCTGCGATAGCAGATAGCAGGCAGAGTAAGTTACGTTACAAATTTAAAACTGAGAATGTGGAAATCAGTGGTTCTGACTGTACTGTAGAGCGAAACGCCCCGACAAAGTTGTTCTGCTGATCTAATGTTGACAGGTCCACAGCGAAGCAGCTTTCCCAACTGCTTATGCTACGCAAAAGCAAGATTGGTTCCTTTCCCTAAAGGAACACCAGCCATGTACACTCCTCCAGATTACCACCATCTCCCCGTCTTCCACGTGCATGCTGCACAGCTGAGCTGAGATGGGACGGAATCGTCGCTCAACCCCTCCGCGTACGCTTGGTCGGCTCCTCAACCTCGCTCTCCTCGTCCGCAGCCCTACCCCGGTCCCGCTCCCGCTTCTTCAGCGCCTGTCCCAGATTCAAGCTCGTGACCTGCTGATTGCCCTTCGTGGCCAGCTCCGGCGCAATTCTCTGCATGACGGCTCTTTCGCCGACCAGATTCTTCGAGCCCTCGACCACCGTGCCTGCCGTAACCTTGATCGTGATCGGTCTCGGGCGGCCCTCTTCGTCGGTCATGGAGAAGCCGTGCTCGAGCCGCATCTGCTGCAGCGCCTGCACCATGCCCATGGCGATGCGGTTGGCGGTCACGCTGGGCTCGATGGCGATCAGGTTGCCCTCGCCCCGGATGTGCAGCGGCGTGTTGATCTCGAGCGTGATCAGAGACGCGGGTTCCTCGTCGGGGATGTCGTCTTCAGAGTCGTCGTCATCCGGTGGGTTGTAGGTGGTCATCAGGGCTCGGGCTGAGGCCGAAGCGGCAGCGGTACCAGCCACGCCCATTCCTAAGCCCACGGCTGGTCTGGGATGGGTGCCCGGGGGGCCTCGACCTGGGGGAGGGTGGACGGGGGCGAAGCTGCCGGATCCGAGGTTTGGAGCTGGAGGTGGACCGGTGGAGGGGTTTGTTGGTGCCATTTTGTTGGTGTTTGGGGGTCTCTTGCAAGGACGAAGGTGTGAAGATGTTTGTCGTCGTTGCGGAGAGAGAGCAACGATTCGGTGCTTGAGGGTATCGAAAGACGACGTTGGTGAAGCGGAGTGGTGACTTGTTAATAATCTTCTAAGTTCTTGATGCTGTAGAAGGAGGATGGATGTGGTGCTTTGGACCCTTTGAGTCTTGAAGATGCTCGAAGGTGGTGATGGATGGTTGTGCTTGTGCTTGTGCAGGAAAGAAAGAGATGGGAGGTTCTCCGCGAAGGTTGCACCCTTATGTAGGAGAAATGGGAAGAGTCATGGCGGTAAAATCTACAATAGTAGTCCATTTCACTTGTGCTTTCTATTGTTGATCTTCACAATGGTAAGCGGACCCACCTTTCCTTTCGCCGACAATAGGAAGAACCACGCTAGGGAGCACGGGCCATACGGCAGCGAGCTTCTCCGTCAGCCAATCAGAGAGCCTGGACTAGGCTCACGACCAGTCGACCAGTCGACCAGTCAGTCACCTCGCTGGCTGCTTACCTACTTCACCTCCCAATAGTCGTCTCTGCAGCTTTAGTTGTTGGTATTGTCCTTTGAAATTGAGGCCAAGGGACCGACCCGCCTTTGATCAAATCTGCCACAATGTCCCAAGGACAATAGCAAGGCTTAAATCCACCACCACCACAGATGATCCGAGTTGCTGCATCACGTGTGAGGAGTTGAGGGGTCCGGTGTGGTATGGTATGTACGGCATGGTTCACTACCGGTAGTTTGGCACATTTGTGAGAGGATTGGGCAAGGAGGATATATCGATTATACAGTGATACAGCAGCTCCTGTCCTGCTGGGCTGGATGGAGACTGACTGACTAGACTGTGGCAAAAGAACTAAGAGCTATGAGCTATGAGCTATGTCAGTCTGTCTACCCTACCTATTTCTTCTCAATGGTATTCTTCACGCCTTCAATAAAAGCTTCCACAGCATCCCCGCCGCCAAGAGGCATACTGCCACCCCTCACCAATCCCCCATGCTGTAACTTGATTCCCAAAGCTTCGGCAATACTGGGCAAGCCACCATCCCGAATCGCCATCGTCAGACTTCCTAGGCTTTGGTGAAATTGGGGACTTCTCAGGACCCGCTTCAGGACAGCTTTCTTCTGGCCGATGCTGAGGGCTTCGATGGCGGCGGATGCAGTCTCGGCGTTGGGCTCTACCATGCCATCGATCGCTGAGGCGGACTCTTGAGCGATGAGAAGAATGGTCGGTGGGAGGTAGGTGAGTAGGTTGTCGATTTGTGCGGGGGTGGCGGTCTCGATCGTGGGTATCGTTATCGAAGTAGGGAGGAGATCAGGTAACGTGGTGTATGCTTGACCTTGAGCCTGTTGTTGCATGCCGCCCTGTCCACCTTTCAACGAATCGAGGAAGTTTTGAACGAGAATGGCGGTATCTGCTGGCCCTGAACCGGCACTGGGCACAACATTAGCCGCAGTCCCTAGGCACGTTCTTGAAATTCTGAGATTCATTCGGGTCGTATCAAACTAGCAGTACATGAACGAGGTTCTCGGCTCGTCTTCCCATCGTTTAAAAACGCCTTGGTTGTAAATGCTCGAGCAATTTTTGGTTCTTCGTTGCGATGGAATGTGACCTACGCTCGTCCACCGTCCATTCCGCCCTCTCGCGCACTTGATCCCTCCTCTCTGATATCACCTCCGGTAGCCCCAGGTCCAGCGCCTCCACTGCCTCCCCGGCCGTGTTCTTCTTTATCTCCGTGGCCCTCAACATCCTCCATCGTCTCGTCGTCGTCGTCATCGTTTGCACCGGGTCCTACGTGGGAGCCATTTCCGTCACTCATTACTTGTGCGATCTCTTCCTCCACGTTGACTTCTTCGCCCTGCAAAAGCCGCTCGACGATCTCACCGATCTTCAGGTCCCGGGGGCTGTGCCAGCCGGGGGCACCAGTATCTGATTGAGAGTGTGATTGGAGCCAGAATAGCTCCCGGCGCGAGGAAGAGGAGAATTTGAGAGCGTAGATGCGGCCGTTGACTTTGGAGGGAAGCGATGGGTCGTGTGCGTAGGGCTGGAATTGGCAGTCGCCGGGGAATGTAACGAGGTCGATGTTCTCTTCATCGTTGATGGGCTTGCTTCGCTCTCGCCAGCAGAAGTGAACAAGGTCTTGTGAAGTTAGCTATGCTCCACGCCTGGTAGACCAGAAACATACCCTCTTCAGTGTAAAGGTAGATGTAACCTCGGGTAGGGTCTGCGGTGACTTTGGGTGGCTTGGTGGATGTCTATTTGTTTGTCAGTCTGAGATCTGCGTAAGAAGTTGATGAGACCATACGTCAATCTGACATTTGCCCGCCTTGAAGGTGATTAATGGACGGATGGACATTTTGGTGATGTCGTTGAGCTGCTGTTGGAGATTGAAAGGCGTTGCAGCTCCAGCTCCTTGGTTGATCGCGCGCCGGGTATCTATGCCCCACTATTATTATAGCTTCAAAACAGGGGCGATTATCGGCTTTCGGGAACTCTCATCCCGTTGACCTCACCTCATCTACCCAGGAGTACGCATATCATGTCAACCAGACTGGATCTTCGAATTCATACTTGATTCTTCTTTTTTTCATGAAATGCAGTCACTTCTGCACTATGTACCGTTCCTTGACTTCTGCTGCCCGTCCCGTATTGACAGAATGACAGAACAGCTCTCGACCTCCTCGTCCTCCTTTCAGCAACTTTGACATCATAAAGCCTTTCCCAATATCTGTTTCAACTCTTGCCACTATATGAATCAGCAATGATGAACTACTCGGTTTCCTAAACGTAACCCCCTCCTTTCACCTATACTCCTCAGCATCGTAGAAAGCAAACACGAGAATGCCACCAACCCAGCCGCGGATAGATCCAGCCAAATCTGCTGAATATGAATGTACGTCTTAGAATGATACACCATACCCTCGAAATCCTTTACCAAATGTGGATGTCTTGCTTCATTGATACAGGTAGTCATGGCTATTGCCAAAGGGCTGATCTGGAATGACCAGTCTGACGTACCCTTCAGCGTTTGAACCTCGTGGTGATCCATCAAGCTTTGTCCACATCACCGAGGCCGAGGCTTAGTCGCATTTGAACTCTTCCTTCCTTTTCGTAAAGTATATGGCAAGCGCAGATTCCGTAGCGGTGTTGTTGATCCTGTATCGAGCCATCTGAACTCTCTCTCTCGAATTCACTTACCACTTCCGATCCGAGATAGTGCCTCCCGCCAAGAGAATTTTACTTGGTTGATATGCGCAAACTTGACGGCGATATTCTATCAACTGGCGGAACTTGGGGCGATGGCTCAGTGGCTTGGCGTCACGTTCCTGTCCAGTTGGTGTAGATTCGCGTGACCCAATCGGAAAACCTATTCAATTAGGTTTGTAGACTGGAACCTCATATCATCATCCCCTATCCGTTGATATGAGCTTCCAGTTGAGTTTTGCAGTTTTGGCTCTTTTTTTTGGTTTGTTTTAAAAGTTCAGATACCACCTATCCGAAGCAAAATCACGATGGCATTTGAGAGCCATTTATAGCGGTTGAGTCGTAGTATATTGATATTAATAAGTAGATAGCGGTTATTAGAAGTGGTCTTTGAAATATTTTATGATATTAGATCGTACAGCTTACATACTGAATGAAGTCCTTCAAGATGAGCGGGCTTGTAGTTGATCATTATATTTTCTCCTACCTTCAATAAAATTACTGCAGAACACCAGAGAATCGAAAGGAGGTGATGCACAATTCTCTCCTAAGCTGAGATAGAACCCTGGATGAATTTCAACTATCAAAATATGCTAGCACTTTCTATAATCATCTGTCAGATGTAGTAGCTGGTCAAGACCCGACACGGATCCGGCGCGGGACCACGTTTGAGCGTTCCCTTTTCTCCGGTATCCTAAGGGAAGGAAGGGAAAGGGCAAAGGGTCATCGATCGGGTGGAAGAGGTGGAAGGTGTGACGACGATCAAATGGAAGTATATACGACTACACTAGCATCCTGAGCTCTTGACTTGACTCCTCGCTGCCATCACCGCCAATATTGACATCCAATCCATCTGACTCGATCTCATCTTATGCCGCCCATATAAGCGCGCCTCTGAGAATCAACAGCAAGCCCGGCATTGTATATGACAGCCCTCCTCATGCTAATCTTCCCAACATCCATCTCCCGCTGTCTGCGCGCAACAACCTGCTGCTCGAAGGACTCCATGATCAACACCGTCACTGCAGACTCTAAAGCATCTAGAAATGCAATTTTGCTTCTGGCCTGTAAAAAAGTTTAAAAATTCTCAGCCGCTTTCGAATTTTAATCATCAGAAATCTAGAGATAGAGCAGAGCTCTATTGGTTATCGAAACCACAGCTATAAAAGTTCTGTACAATATGGACTTCGCGGCTGCAGAGAGCGTAGAAGCTTTCGCCGCAGTAGCAGTAGCGAGGAACATAACTTAGATATCGATTGTGATATCAAGTCTCAAATCAAAGAATCGCATATTTGCCAATGAGTTTGTAAGGGGAAGAGGATGGCAAGACTGACCATGACAGTTAATCAGCAGAACCACCAGTTGAACAAGAAGATGAGAAAACCCCCATATACATAGTCATTTCCGAGCTAACGGCGACACCTCGGGTATTTTCGTATCTATTTTATATATCCCAAAACCAACTTCCTCTACCATCCAGTGGCGGGATGGCTTGGCAGGCAAGTCGTCTTTAGATCAATCTGGACGGGATCGATTGGGCCCCCGGGATCCGGGAACGAAAAACCTATTCAGTTAGGTTTGATATCTAGAACCTCATATATCGGTATATGGGCTTCTGGAGAATTTTTGGTGTTTTTTCGAGATTTTTCATCTTATTTTTTTTGTTGTTGTTGGTTGCTTCGTAGAGGAGAAGTAGAGCGTCTGCTTATTTAGCGAATTCTTCGATCAAAGCGATCGGGTGCATTTATACAGCAGCCTTATCTTGGATGGTATCTTATATCATAAAAAATAATCGCGAAGTACGTTTGTTTACGAGGCTGGCGTGGGGTACATCAGAGGTGTTCGAGTTGTACTCAGTCGTGGATGATGGGCTCAAATGAGGCCTTCCTTGCTCTTTCTTAGGGAGTGGCGGTCCTTTGAAATGATAGTAGTTTTGGAATTGGAATCCAGAGGACTGCCCGCTATGAATAGAGCGACCCGAAGAGCGGGCCGGCTGGATTTCACGGAATATAGTTTGAGGACAGTCAGTACGCGCTCGTCGTGGATACTTCAAATTATTTAAAAGGATTAAGCTCACCGCGAAGGCTTGGAACCGTAGGCCAGGAAAACTGACATTTCCATCACTTGGCCATAAGCAAGAATTCTCTTACGATTGCAATAAGAAGGTATCATTCGTTCAAGCTTAATCTGCATTATATTTAAGTGCAAAACTTCTAGGGTTGTCATACTCAACCGATTGATTGTCTTCCCGCCTCAAATTACGATAGTGGACTAGCAATTCTCCTGCCCAAGTTCATAGGGTCGCTAAGGTGGAGGCCGGGCACCAAAAAGTTTCGCGTCACAATACATCGCTCGGCTGGCCGACTTAAAATGTTGGATTGACTGGACGGCAACAGAAACCTTTAGATACTTGAATAGCAATAACAAGGAATTGAGGCATGCGAGAAACTATGCCGTGAGTCATTTTATCATTTCGAGAATATGCTCTAATGAGCTGCCGCAACACCTGAAGCATCTGCCTGCGCAGTGATTCTCTTCTTATACGCCTGTACATCTCCTGGGAACTTCTCAACAGTTCCACCGTCGCAAACCCATAAACTGGTGCACACCGACTGCAACATCGTGACGTCGTGACTAACCATGAGAACACCACCTTGAAACTTTTGAAGCGCCGAACTCAAGGCATCCATGGCCTCGATATCCAAATGGTTGGAAGGTTCGTCAAGAACCAGAATATGAGGGTTGGTCAAAGACAGACATGCAAATGCGACACGAGACTTTTGACCCCCGGATAGCAACTCCATCTTCTGAAGACCAGTCATTCCGGTGATACCAAAGGCACCGAGATGTCGGCGGTATTCTTCATCCTGCTTTCCTGGGTATTGCTTTGCCATGAAGCTTACGGCACTGGCGTTCAAGTCGAGGGCATCGACGTGATGTTGAGCAAAGAATCCGACCCGAAGACGAGGATTCTGAGAGATGAGCCCGGATGTAGGAGTCAATTTGCCGACGAGCAGTTTGAGCACTGTCGTTTTTCCTGCACCGTTGGGGCCAACGATACCGATTCGAGAGTCAAGTTGCACATCTAAATCTACGTTCTTTAGCAATAACTTGTCTTTCGTGTACCCAAAAGACACGTCGGTCATTTGCACAATAGGAGGAGACATCTTCTCGACATCTGGAAACTTGAAGTGGACAGTGTACTCGCTCTCCGGAGCTTCGAGAACAGGCATCTTTTCGAGTTTCTTGATTCTGGATTGAGCCTCGGAAGACTTGGCAGCGTTGTAACGGAATTTGTCGATGAAAGCTTGGAGATGGGCTCGCTGGGCCATTTGTGTCTCGTATTCTCTCTTGGCAGTCTTTCTTCGCTCCTCTTTGGTGGCATAGAAAGACTCGAAATTGGCACCCTTGTAGTAGTCAAGACGTTCCGAGTGCTGGTGCACAATATCTGTGGCAACTTCGTTCAGGAAAGCTCTGTCGTGAGAGACTACGAGCACAGTACTGGGGTAGCCCTGTAGGTAGTTGGCCAAGAAAGTAATGGAAGGGACGTCCAACATGTTAGAAGGCTCGTCAAGAAGTAGAAGATCGGGCTCGCAGAAGAGGGCCCGTGCAAGAGCCAAACGCATACGCCAACCACCAGAGAAAGTCTTGGTTGCAAATTGTTGTCGTTCTGGGGAGAAACCGAGACCGGCAAGAATAGTGGCAGCTCTCGATTCGGCTTTGTCGGATTCCATCTCCGCCAATTTACCCTGAACATCTCCTAGAGTCTGATCCAGACCTTCACGCTCGCGATCAAGTCTTTCTGCATCAACGGAAGTATCGGCCATAGACGATCTTTCTGCTTCAATTTCTGCAAGCTGCTTTCCGAGTTTCTACATAAGGGTCAGCCTGGTACTGCAGACTTAAATATCGAGTGAGATATCAAGTGAGGTGATTATCAAGCGAGACTGAAAATCAAGTGCGACTGAAAATCGAAGGTGGCAAGGGAACTTACGACTTGCTCTGCCAGCAAATGCTTTCGCCAGACGTCTGCGTCTAATACGGCCTGCAAGGCTGGCGTATCGTCTCCAGAGATCTTTGATCTTCGTCAGCATGAGTAGCAAATGCAAATAAGGTGATCTCTGACCTCTTGTTCAACATGGAGAATGGAAATGTGTGTAGGAATAGCGAGTTCTCTGCGCGCGAGTGCTCTCAAAAGCGTAGATTTACCAATACCGTTTTGACCAACCAAGCCATATCTTCGTCCATAGGCCAGAGTCAAGTTGGTGTCTGTCAAAATCCTCAAGCCTCCAATAGACACATCAATACTGTCCAATTTGATATCCTTGCTCTTCGTTTGTCCTTGGGCATTTGATCCAAGCTGGAGAGGGTTTACAGCCATGAAGAACTCCTCGTATGACTGCGCATCGTCAGGTTGATTGATCAGTTTCGAAGCTTCATATTCGACATTCTTAAAAGTCTTCTTATTCTGCTTGGCGGCAATTTTCCGTTCGGCCTTCTCTAGCTTTTTCTTGTCGACCTTCGACTCAAGCTTCCTCGTGTTTGCTGACTCCAAATCAACACCCGTAGTCGAGATGCCTAAGGTAGATGACATGTTTCTCTGAGCTCCCACTTGAATAGCCTGGTCCAATCTCTTTGCAGCGGAAGACAGCTGGGTACGTTGGCCACTGGCCGCCTGAGAGGCGGTGAACTTGTCCACCCATTTCTGGACTATCTGACTGATTTTGATCTGGTTCTCAGAGGAAGGATCACCAGAAGCCGAGAGCAGCAGCTCGGTAATGGATGTAGCTGCTTCGGCCAGAGGAGACGGCCCTGTGCTCTCTACTGCATCTGGAACATATGCATTTGATGCATGGGTTAAGTAGCCGTTGGCATATTCTGTGAGGATCGGGTCGATGCCCGGGATAAAGCCCTTGATTTCTGATTCCATGACGTCTGGGTATGGCGAGTTGTCGAACGCAATATCTGGAATTGCTTCCGAGCGACAATTGCAAGTCGAGATTCAATAAGTCACATTTCGATTCTTGCCTTGATTTTCAGGCCTCAAGTCGGTACTAGGGCTAGCGCGGTGCACGGCCAGTAAACAGAGCTAGGGCAGGGGTGGGCGCGATCGCGACTCCTTTTCCTTTACCGCTCCTTTCTCCTGCTCAACATCATCTCGACGACCTCAATTCCTCGACAGCTCGCTCCATCACCTTCGCAACCCAACCCAACTCATTACCATCTCCAGTCCCGAAACCTTAAAACCTTCACAATGCGCGAGATTGTTCACTTGCAGACCGGGTGAGCACCCCCATCCTTTACTCACACACGGGCAATTACTGATTTTTCAATAGCCAGTGTGGTAACCAGGCAAGCAGAATCCCTTTTTTTCAGAGTAATTGGAGATGCTAACCAGCAGGACAGATTGGTGCTGCTTTCTGGCAAACGATTTCTGGCGAGCATGGCCTCGACGGCTCTGGCGTGTAAGGTTCCTCTGCTGCTCTGGGAAGAGGGGTTCAGACCAGGCTGACAATATGTGCAGCTACAACGGTACATCCGACCTCCAACTCGAGCGCCTGAACGTCTACTTCAATGAGGCTTCCGGCAACAAGTATGTTCCCCGTGCCGTCCTCGTTGATTTGGAGCCGGGTACCATGGATGTAAGTTCCCCGGCCCCCTTCCTGCCGCGACTGATCTAATCGTGCCAGGCTGTCCGCGCCGGTCCCTTCGGTCAACTCTTCCGCCCCGATAACTTCGTCTTCGGTCAATCTGGAGCTGGAAACAACTGGGCTAAGGGACATTACACTGAGGGTGCCGAGCTTGTCGACCAGGTCCTCGATGTCGTTCGTCGTGAGGCCGAAGGCTGCGACTGCCTCCAGGGTTTCCAAATTACCCACTCTCTCGGTGGTGGAACTGGTGCCGGTATGGGCACGCTTTTGATCTCCAAGATCCGTGAGGAGTTCCCCGATCGTATGATGGCCACCTTCTCTGTTGTCCCATCTCCCAAGGTCTCCGACACCGTTGTCGAACCATACAACGCTACCCTCTCCATCCATCAGCTGGTCGAGAACTCTGACGAAACCTTCTGTATCGATAACGAGGCTCTCTATGACATCTGCATGAGAACCCTCAAGCTCTCCAACCCGTCTTATGGAGATCTCAACCATCTGGTCTCTGCCGTCATGTCCGGTGTCACCACCTGTCTCCGTTTCCCTGGTCAACTCAACTCCGATCTCCGAAAGTTGGCTGTCAACATGGTCCCATTTCCTCGTCTCCATTTCTTCATGGTTGGATTTGCTCCTCTCACTAGCCGGGGTGCTCACTCCTTCCGTGCTGTTACCGTCCCAGAGTTGACCCAACAAATGTTTGACCCAAAGAACATGATGGCTGCCTCTGACTTCCGCAACGGTCGCTACTTGACCTGCTCCGCTATCTTGTAAGCTCACCAAAATTATGAAGTGAAATCTGCATTACTAACTTTTTGAAGCCGTGGTAAGGTGTCCATGAAGGAAGTTGAGGATCAAATGCGCAACGTTCAGAACAAGAACTCTTCATACTTCGTTGAGTGGATTCCCAACAACGTCCAGACCGCTCTCTGCTCCATTCCACCTCGTGGTCTCAAGATGTCCTCCACCTTCGTTGGTAACTCCACTTCGATCCAAGAGCTGTTCAAGCGTATCGGTGACCAGTTCACTGCCATGTTCCGAAGAAAGGCTTTCTTGCATTGGTACACTGGTGAGGGTATGGATGAGATGGAATTCACCGAGGCTGAGTCTAACATGAACGATTTGGTTTCCGAGTACCAACAATACCAGGATGCCTCCATCTCCGAGGGCGAGGAGGAGTATGAGGAAGAGGCACCTCTAGAGCAAGAGGAGTAAATTTCTGCTTTGCTATCCCAATGCGACAGCGTGGGCTTTTGAACACGTTGCGGTATTCTTATGGCAAGATGAAAATTTCTCAAAGTGGTTGTTTTTTTAATCTGTTAATTTGACAGCGAGGGGGTCTTTCCATGAAGGATTCACAGGGGAATACCTCTTTGGCTTGGAGTGGCTCATAGCCGACCGAGTAATTCAGAACAATTTGGTCGACACTGTGCACGCGTGAAACGACGAGCCCTGATGAGGCCAATCTGAGACTGTTATCACTTGCCGATTGTACCTCGTGCTCAATTGCCTTCGACAGTAAGTCTTGCCTTTCTACACTGGTTTCAAGCTCTTTCCCCAGATGTCAGGCTCAAGCTATTGAGTAGTGCTCGTGTAGGGATGGATGGCTTAGAAGCACTTTCTTTCAATCATGACACTCTTATACCTGGGTGGGTCTTCGTTATTTCTGTTGTAGTACACTGGGTCAAGGCAATGCTGCTTTTGCAATGTTTCCAACCCGCTCTTTTTGTGATGGCCACGTTCTGTCATGCTGGCAAAATGCTTTTGATGGAGAACATCACTCAAGTGACCATCAGTCACCCTATATGGAGTGTAGTAATGTTTTTGCTCCCCATCCAAGGTTTCCTTTTTTTTTTTCCCCTTGTCTACCCGGGACACTCTTCTCATTCTCAACATCAACATCACAGGTATCAATCATCACACCACCTACCCATCTTCGTCCCAGATGCAACGGAAAGAAGTCCTCCGGGTCCCGGACGGACCGATATGGCCAGATTCCCGCCCACGAACACCATGACACAACAACTGGAGGGAGCTGCGGGCCTAGAGCTAGAGCCAGAGCCAGAGCCAGAGAGAAGGGGTGGTTTCTTCCGCGCCGTCTACGTATCTCGGGGCTTCCGAATCGCAAGATAGATCGATCGTACTACGCCGAAGGAGAAAGAATAAAGTTTCGTGGGCTTGGCAATGGCATGCATAATCGATCTTGGATTTATTATTTTTGGGTTTAGAGGGAGGGCGCCGAGCTGTGAGAAGGGTGGGTGGAGTGTAGATGGTGATATCTCTCTCAGTATTTACTGCGAAAAAAATTTTCCCTGGGGGATTTGAGCTGTGAGGCGGTTTGGTTCAGCATTTGATATATTATGGATGAAGGGATGGGGCGTCTGATGTTGCAGCAAGCAGCAGCAGCAACGATACTAGATGTTTCGAATCCGAACCCGTTCTAGAGCACCGAGCGAGACTCGAGTAGTACCAAAAGCATTTTGGAAAGAAGACGCAATCACTGGAATAATCTACTTCTTGAAGCACTGGAAAAACGTTCCAGTGCTAATCAAGCTGGGGGTGCCATAGACGGTAAAAATGGACTGTGATTACCCCCAAAGAGTCAAGGTATAGTAAGATATGCTACGGCTTCTGCGTCGCTCATCGGGTCTGTTCTACTCCGTATACGTCGATGTCACGAGACATTGGATCTCTCATGAAGTATGAAAGGGAAAGGTTAGCGATAAGCGATTCTCGCTTGAAGACAAGAAACATCGGATGACATCTGATGAAGGTAAATCTATGTACCTATGCCCTTTCTTGATCCCAATTCGCCAAAACCGCTGCCGCTTTGGCCTACTTTAAAGATGAGGTGTTGATTAAATAATACCAACGTCTAGCTCAAGACAGGTGCAAGAAAGACACAACTGTGTTGCCTACAATCGCGATCCCAAATGACGGCGAGAGAGACACGTCGCTCAAGGAGCTCGCTGACTGCATGCTCGGAAGAGAAACAAGAAAGAAAGAAAAAATTGAGGTCATAGACGAGAAACGTCTTACCTATACACACGGCCGTACGCCTTTATACCCGGGGGCCGGAGCGGGCGACGAAGCAAACCGGAGGGATCTCCACGGCCACAAGACAATCTTATAAGGCAGCCACGCCCGACACAAAATCTGCAACGGAAGTAGCATGGCTTGGACCCTTATTCTTGGTACCCGTCGAATGAAGGGAGGGGAAGGATTTTTTCGTGGAAAAAAAAGAAGGGGTTGGACCCCGGATCTGAGATTCAAGAAGAGAGGCAGCATAGTTGCTGCATGTGGACAACCCTTTCCCGCACCTGCCAGGGAGAGACCTGCACACACACTCGGCTACATAGGACATTGAAGGAAGCATGTGCCCGTTTCCGTTGCAACTTATTGGATTGCCGGTACTGCTTTGTTGTGGTGTGAGGTAGGTATGAGGTATGGGCGCTGTCATGCACTCATCCGATGCTGTGACTGGCAGCTTCCTTTCTTGGTTGCCGGGCTGTAATTTACGTACCCGGTGACTTGATGTCTTGGATGCATGGTAAAGAGGTAGTCAAATGCGCATTTCAAAGACTTCGTCATGATTCAACGATACTTATCAATAGAGTCACTATGGTTGTCTCGATGATGCCAGTGGAAAGGATAGTTCGTTCCCTGGAGAACCCGGGTCCGCCAAAACCGGAGGCGAGGAAGCTCGATATAGCATGCTGGATGTTGGCTACCCAGGTCATAGGACTATAAATCCAGGGTAAATAATGTGGTCATCGTCAGCATAATCGTTGTTAGTGGTACCTTCGGGGCCGTGGTGATGCTCGATGTCGTAGTGCATCCACCGTGCCCAGTACAAATTTGTGATGACGACCATGGTATGTTTACCCGCCTCGTGATCGGTGTATTGATTATGATTGAGAGACTTGTAGTGACTTGTAAGTAAGGTTTGGAGATTCGTAATCCGGGCCTGGGAGGTTCTGGTGGGTGATTGGAGGTTTAAGCGAACCTGCGGAAGGACGAGAGTCATCGCGCATGCATGTTTATGATGCCTACGAGCCCTCGTCAGTCTGGTTGCGGTGGAAGGGAGAGAAGAAGCTCCGTCTTGTATGCCACAGGGCTGATGCTGACAGCTGCAAACACGGTCGAGACGGTCAAGCGTAACATGGGCCACAATAGCTAGCTGGGTAGGGAGTATAACACAAGGGTATCTGTCGAGGGCAGGGTACCTACCAAAGTGAACTAGGTGCCGACTGACAGAAGCATCATTGGGATCGGGAAGTGAGATTCGGCAGAGTAGTTGAACAGGTAATAAGCAGATAGGCTTTCCTATCCCTAGAAACTCACAACTTACAATTTTAAGAGCTTGTAGGGTCGGTCGAGATGAGCCTGGAGATTTGGGGTATATGCAGGGAAGCTCTGATTCGATTTGTAATTCACACCGAGAGGCCGGAAGACATTAAACCAAGGCAAGTACAGCTGTGGCACTCATGATGCTACGCAAGATGAAAACATCCAGTTGAACCATCCTTGGGTGCCACCACCGGAAGTGCCGTTCGCTGAGTTGGATGTCGCTCTATGCTTTAAGCCATTATGCAACTGCTCTCCTGTTGCCTTGTCATGCTTGGAGAAAGCCGACAGCGAATTAATGGATAACGAGAAATCGCCCTCTTGAGTAGCAAAAAAACTAAAGACATTAGCTTCATTTCTTGTCGAAGGGGGGGGGGAATGGTAGTGTTACCTGCGCATCATGAAGCTGATTCTTTTCACATGCTGCAAGTCCAAAGGCTTTGCATCCTTCTTATCTCGTCCCCGGTACGTAGGCTTGAATTCGTCCCATTGGATGAATATCTTTCCCCCATGTGGGTTTGCCTTAAAATCATATTCCCAGCTCACGGTACTTTGGTCCCTGCCGTTTGGCATTTTGGGCAGCAGCTCGTCCTTCAATGTCAAGGTATATTTCTTCTCGTCTGACTTGGCAATGTCAAGGACTAGACCATCATACTTGGAGAGATCCCAGTTTCGGTCCTCTCCGGTTGTTCGCTGTGAGGCAAAGCCTGCGCCACCTAGTGTTTTGGTGTCGAGGTTGCCGTGGAAGATGGCGGTAGGTGAGAGAGGGTTGCAAGCGAGTTCTGAGATAGAGGAGCCGCCGCGAACTCGGTCGTCTGAAGATGTCCAGTCAAGAGGTGACCATGGCCTGCGATTGAGATGAGCGTGACTTCTCGAAGAGCTTGGGATACTGGAAGTCACCTGTCACCACCGAATATAGACGTTTTCTTGAGAAGGGAAGTCATCGTGGAAATGATCTCGGGTTGATGATGGTTGACTGTTAGACCAGTTGCTTGGAGCCGGAGAACCCGAGGAAAAGTAGTATGAAGTCACCTAGAATATCCCTGAAGCGATGAAAATCAATGGCTCAATTATCGCAACTGAATAGCAATAGAGCAGTTCAATTGCCCTTTCACTGCAAGGACCTTTGGGCAAGATGACCTCATTACTCAAGATCAGCCACACCGACCTATCGCGCTTAGTCGCGTCTAAGTCCGAGTCTAGCATGCATATTACCCCAGACAGAAACCGGATAATCGTTTATGCGTGAGTCCTTTCTAGTTACTCGTCGGTTTAATTATAGCCATTATCACGTGATATCAGCAAAGCCAAGACAACAAAACCTCTTGCCTCTTCGCGTTGAATGCTTAACTTTCGTCAAAGGCATACTACCATTGCGACAACGACAACCTCGACACTTACGAAATCAACATAACTCATAACACGCAATGGCAGAAACCGCAATAACTTGGACTACCCTTAGGGGTCTCCCGAAGATCGCCGAAGGAAAAGTCCGCGACTTATATGAAGTTGACTCAAAGACCCTCTTGTTCGTCGCATCGGATCGCATCTCAGCCTACGACGTAATCATGGAAAACGTAGGCGCCCCGTCTTCTTCATAAAATTTCTTCTGTATTTCAGCTAACCTAATCCAGGGTATCCCTTCTAAAGGTCCCCTCTTGAATTTGCTCTCTACACACTGGGTAAATTGAAAGCTGCCTTATCTCCGCCGTTCTCTACTGACCACTCTCACAGTTCCGCATCCTCTCCAGCCTAATCCCTGACCTGCGCACGCATTTTATCACCCTCGACCTACCTTCCTCAATCCCCGAAGCTGATCGTCCGCAAATGAAGAACCGCTCAATGCAAGTCCGCCGACTCAAGATCTTCCCCATCGAAGCCATTGTCCGAGGCTACATCACCGGTTCCGCGTGGAAAGAGTACCAGAGCACCGGCACTGTCCACGGCATACCGATCGCGCCTGGGCTGAAAGAATGCGAGATTTTCCCTCAAGGTGCCATCTACACACCCAGCACCAAAGCCGAGGCGGGAAAAAACGACGAGAACATCTCCGTTGCCCAAGCCGCGGAAATAGTCGGGCCGAAATACGCCGAGAGGATCGAGGAATTGGCCCTTAAGCTCTACACGACTGCCAGAGATTACGCCCGAGCCCGGGGTATCATCATTGCGGATACGAAGTTCGAATTCGGACTGGATGAGGAGACGGATGAGATTGTGCTTGTGGACGAAGTCTTGACTCCGGATTCGAGTCGGTTCTGGCCAGCGGATAAGTATGCGGTTGGTCGCGATCAAGACTCGTACGACAAGCAATACTTGAGAAACTGGCTCACCACTCACGGACTAAAGGGGAAGCCGAGCGTAGTGATGCCGGAGGATATCGTCAAGAACACCGCCGATAAATACCGAGAAGCGTTTGAGAAATTGACTGGGAAGAAGTGGTTAGAAGCTATTGAGTAGTAGTAGTCGCAATATACCCCTCTCCAATCGCATCGCATCGCAATGCGTGCAACTGCGTTTTGTATCCCTCCCTCACTGTCACTGCCTCTCTCTTCTCTCCTCTCTCAGATCCAGGGTCTCCAACCCCTCTCTCTCTCCTTCTTCTCCTTCATCTCCTTCTTCTCCTTCTTCTTCTCCTTCATCTCCTCCTCCTTCATCTCCTCCTCCTTCTTCTCCTCCTCCTTCTTCTCCTCCTCCTTCTCCTCCTCCTCCCTCTTCATCATCATCACGAAAATCCCTCCCCTCCCCTCCTCTCTCCCTCCCCCTCCCCCCTCTCTCCCACCCTCTCACTCCCCCACCCACCCGACACAAACAAGAACACAAACAAGAACACAAACAAGAACACAAACAAGAACACAAACAAGACCAAAAAAAACCAAGGGGTCCGTCCAAGCTCGCAAGACACGCTTCTGCACCCGATCAAGTCAAGTCAAGTCAAGCTAGGTTAAACAAGCGAAAAATATATATATATATATATTACCAACACCGTCATCCCACCCCTTGCCCCGCCCCCCAACCGCCGCCTCCGCCGCCTCCTCACAGCAACAAGCAACAACGTACGTGTACCTACGTCTCCGAAAAGACAACCGTTAGAGCCTGAGACGACGGAGAGTACCGTAGGTACCGTAGGTAGCCAGCCAGCCGATAGCCGAACGACCAGCTTTGCCTCTCTCTGTTGGCTAGCGCACGGGTGGGTCATCGTCATCGTCATCCTGTTGTATCCTATCCTACCGGTATCCATACCCCTTCGCTCGGATGTGATGTGGCTACGTATCGCGAAAGAAAAAAAAAAAAGACCTACTTGCTTCGTCTCTCTTTTTCTTTGTCTCGAATTTGCTACTTACTTATCAAGATCCAACATATATATTCCCCACACTGAAAGCGGGCAGTTAAGCCAAGGCGTTTTTGAGACGTTGACATTGGAAAAACAATCAAATCAATCGACCTAGAACGTGATTGTAGGTAGGCGGCCGGGAGAGTACAGAAAGACTTGAGAAAGTCAAGAAAGGAGAAATCAAACCCCCCTCCGCCCCCTTCCCTCGCTCCCCCCAACCCCCGCTGAACTCCAAACGGCCTTGCTTCCCATTTCTTTTGCTTTCAAAGCCAGTTTCGGAAGAAGAAGTAAAAAAAAAAAAAAACCCAAAACCCCCTACCCCAAACCC